GCTCTGGAGATCATCTAGTCCAACCCACCTGCTCAAGCAGGATCACTTAGAGCACATTGCACAGGACCATGTCCAGGCGGGGTTTGAACATCTCCAGCGAAGGAGACCCCACAACCTCTCTGGGCAACCTGTGCCAGTGCTCTGTCACCCTCACAGTGAAGAAGTTTTTCCTCATGTTCAGATGGAGCTGCCTGTGTTTCACTTTGTGCCCATTGTCATGGAGAAGAGTCCGGCCCCATCCTCTCGACACCCTCCCTTCAGATACTTGTACACATTGATGAGACCTCCTCTCGGTCTTCTCTTCTCCAGGCTCAACACGCCCAGCTCTCGCAGCCTTTCTTCAGAGGAGACATGCTCCAGTCCCCTACGCATCTTGGTAGCCCTCCGCTGGACTCTCTCCAGTAGTGCCATGTCTCTCTTTGCACTGGGGAGCCCAGAACTGGGCACAGTACTCCAGGTGAGGCCTCAGCAGGGCTGAGGAGAGGGGCAGGATCACCTCCCTCCACCTGCTGCCTAATGCACCCTAGGATCCCATTGGCCTTCTTGGCCACAAAGGCACATAGCCGGTCAGCTTGTTGCCCACCAGGACCCCCAGGTCCTTCTCTGCACAGCTGCTCTCCAGCAGGTCAACCCCCAGCCTGTCCTGCTGCATGGGGTTATTCCTCCCCAGGGGCAGGGCCCTGCACTTGCCTTTGTTGAACTTCATGAGGTTCCTCTCCGCCCAGCTCTCCAGCCTGTCCAGGTCCCTCTGAATGGCAGCACAGCCTTCTGGTGTGTCAGCCACTCCTCCCAGTTTTGGATCCTCAGCAAACTTGCTGAGGGTGCACTCTGTCCCTTCATCCAGGTCATTGATGAATACATTGAACAAGACTGGACTGAGTACTGACCCCTGGGGGACACCACTAGCCACAGGCCTCCAACTTGACTCCGCACCACTGACCACAACCCTCTGAGCTCGGCCATCCAGCCAGTTCTCAATCCACCTCACCGTCCACTCATCTAGCCCACACTTCCTGAGCTTACTTATGAGGATGTGATGGGAGACAGTGTCAAAAGCCTTGCTGAAGTCCAGGTAGACGACATCCACTGCTCTCCTCTCATATAATCAGCCAGTTGTCTCATCTGGTTCGTTTTAACAAATCACTGAAGGAGCTGGCAAGGATCAGCGAAAGTAATTTTGAATCATGTTTAGAAAAGGTACTATCCCAGTTTTCTGTTGCTCAGAGAGCAAGAGGGCAAGTGCAGCTACCGAAGGGCTTTCTGCAGAAGCTGAGTTAGATGTGCTCATTGCAATTGATGTCTTTGGGCTAAGCTGCTAAGAGCAGAGTAGAAGATTTTCCTATAAGGGCAGATTAGGATATTGTTTCTTACAAGACTGTTTTACCGTAAAGTTCTAGTTTACATTTTGAAGATTTTTCTTGGCTAGAATATTTCATGCTACAATGAAAGCATAAAATACATGGAATCTGGTACAATGAGTACCAGAAGAATACATGAAGAAGAATACATGTTGTTCTTTGTTAACAAATAACTTCTTAAGGATCACATCTGTGAACAAACTAAAATTCATAGAACTTCTGGATAACTGATTCTGAGAACAACAACCTCAAAATTCAGGATTTAGTTTTCATCTTCATCAGGGATTATATCTGTTGTTAAGTTCTATATGTTTTGATGCCATACTTCCTTGTATTCTATGGATCACATAGATCTATGGATCTATGGAATCACTTGGACATCTATAACCATACAGCCATGGAACAATATGAAGGAAAAGGTACTGGTTAAAAAAAAAAAAGAAAGTGTACTTTTTTCTTCTTTTAAAATACAAGACCTTTCATTTCTTTTGATATAATTTCTTTTATTTTGATAGGATAAAAATCAGACTTGATTTTTAATTCTCTTTTACTGTCCCCAGCAAAACAAAGCAGACTTTCTTTTCCATAACTTTAAAATGAGAAATATTGTCAATATTTTTAACAATTTTTTTTTCAGTTTTGTCCTTTTTCATTCTGATAGAAACAGACCTTTTAAAACAACAATTGCATGAGAAAAGTAGCGTTCATGGCCAACAGTGAACTTTGTTGTTGTCAAAAACTTTACTTTAAGGATGACCAATTAAGTTGCTATGTTCCAATCTGCAAGATATTTTATACTAGTAATTTCTTCCAAAAGTGTTTGTTAAAAGGTTGATCCTTGCCATACATGTCCACAGAAACTAAGCTGAAAGACTTGCTCTCTACAGTGTGTTGGTAGGCACTTTGCACGAAGTATCAGGCAGTGATGCAGGTAATTATCCCCTGATGTGACAACTTGGTAGTACCATGAGCCACAATACCTTAACTTTAGTTGGATGTGTGTGAGCCCTGAAATCCTGTGACAAAAATGAAATTAAATCCTGTCACTTCAGTAAGGAACTAGCAGGGAGATATTAAAAAAAACAAAAAAACAAACAAAAAAACCCACATAAATATTAGAAGTCCCTGAAGGCTAGTGAACCAGTTTCCTTTAGCTGAAATGACAGTGTCTGCCAAGAAATCCAAGGACTCAGTCTATGTTTCTCTCTTTAAAGCAATTAGTCAATCACTACCTTCACAGATCTGTGAAACAATCTGTCCTATTTTATACGCCTGTACAAGAATTACTTTAAAGTGATAAGGTTACTGCAGTGAAGCCTGGCAAAAAGAGGTTTACAATAGGGTTTTATGCTGTTAGAGTCACTAGCAGCATGCTAAGAAATTTCAATTGCAATTAAAACCAATCATTTTCAAATATATGTCATGGTTTGGAAAGGGTGAGAAATGCTTTTTGCTCTATGGATTTTCACACCTAGGAGAACAGATCTTTTTTATGTTAAGTTTTTTTTTTTTTTTAATGGGAGGAAGCTTGCAGCACTATTTCAGAAGATGTGCATTCATTATAGCAAATTGTATTAAAAAAAATCACTAAAATGCAGCTTCCTTCTTTCATTGTGTCACAGTTCTTATTAAGGTTGCATTTAAGGATTGCCCCTGAATGTAATTCTGTGTACGTGGCATGGAATTTATTTTAATTTTTATTTTAAGATTTGTGAAACGCTTTGGTAAAATATATATTTAGTGAAAAGTGACATTTCAAAGTATTGAACTGAAACCGTGCTGAGTTTTTGGCAAGTAGTCTTGGAAGAAACAAAATTAGATGTGTTTGTAAACGGTAAAAAACTTCTAAAATAAAGCATTTAAATGTTTCAGACTAATTTCACATAAGGATGTAGTTTTCATTTGCAAAGACAAGAAGAGAATGTTGTCTCCCCTATACCCATTTCATTTAACTCACCATGTACCACACTGATGTAATAATTTAAACACGATCCTCCTGGCTCCTAGGCAGGCATTATAGCAACAGAAGTATAAGGTATTCTAGGATGTAACTGTCTCATTGTATGAGGTTTATCACTGGAGCACTGTCTGGAACTTGAATTTTCACTCCCTACAATGTGTTTTTTGGCCCCTCTCATGTCTAACAAATATTTAGTTGATCATTAAAAAAAAAAGGCAATTACAACTCCCATAGTCCTCATCATTCCACATCCTCATCCACTACCTCAACCTGTAGATAGCAAACCTGAAATCATTTTTTCACAGCATGATGAAAGTATTTTTTGAAGGTCTGAGTAGCACGGTGATGTCAAAGATCTGTTATTTTGTGCAAAACATGTATGTGCCTACCTGTGCCAAGGCAACTCTGGCAGGCCTCGCTTATATATCTGAAGAGACTACTGTACTGCTGAGTGCTGTCCTGGCACAATTTTTCAACTCAGAATGGGCTCTGTAGTTTTGCCTGTGCTTCAGACAGTGGGGCATAGAATCAAAGAGAAGACTTCTGTACTACTTTGTTCACATATTTACTCAGAGCCAGTTAAAACCTATTGTTTTTTGAAGTTAGGCTAAGACCAAATACTATGCTGAGGGTTGAATCCTGTTCCCACTGGAATCAATAGCCAAACATTCAATAAACATTCATTAGTGCCAGGATTTTACTCTAATCATTTAGAAATGCCAGCCCTCCCCGCCTCCAGGCAATGAGCAGCTTCTAAATATGATAAAGCACTTCCCCTACCTTCTGCTAAAACATTTTGGAAACTGTAGCACTGGTTAATGACGGCTTTCTATTGAGAAAATTCCTGTCAGCTCCAACATATTTTCCCTTTGGACAATATTTGGCAGTTACTGTAAAATTCTTACAATCTCAGATGAAAAATGAACCAGGACTCCTCTTAGAAAAGAGGACTGAAGACATAAATACTACTAAGAGAATACGCTAATTCCATTTAAGTGAAATAAAACAAAATTGTTTGACTGCCTTAATGCCTGAATTGACTACTTAGAATGTTAAGTGTTTCACTTTATATATAAAATGCTAAACAAAGGAATGAGGAAAATATATTACGGCAAATTTTGTTGCTTTTTGTTCGCTTAATACACTTCAAACTTAATTCTATGTTGTCATTATGAAGTGGCACTGATTAAACAGGAATTTTAAAATAACCAAAGTGGAAACATCATACTACCTTAGTACCTATTGATATTTTCAGTATCTTCACTGCTTTTACATTCAGAAAGATGACATAATGATGCATTTGTTCCTATGAGATTGACTATCATACCACCTCTCCTGGTATGACTGAATAGCTTAAGGGAGATCAACATCTTTTTCCTCTTAGGGTGAAGAGACGTATTTCCAGCCTGAATGTAACATCCTCATAACCAGAAACAATAATTGCCACAAAATTTGAACTCTACTATGAGAACCTTTCATGACGATTATCTTCCCTAGTGACAAAAGTTAAGAGTAAATTAATTATTGTCCTTGGCTCAATACAAACCAAATACCACCAGGGAAGTCTATATATTTCAAACCCAACACACAAATGCGAATCAACAAAGCTTTCAACGTACAGCTACTAAGAACTTTTTTATCCATTTCAGTGGATCCATTTAGCTCAACAAAGAAACTTTTACCTGACTAGTGTGGCTCTCCCTATGTCTTTGAGTCGATGAGCTTGCTGCAGTGCTGGCCGACAGTCTTGAATATTCATTTTCCTCTGGTAAACCTAAGGCAGAAAAATACTAATTTATAATCTGACATTTAAGCACTGGCTGTTTCCAGCATGAGATTCAAGACACCTTGACACGTTTTATTAAATAAGAGTGCAAAACATCATAAATTTGCCTGGATATTTACCATCCCCATGCTTACTAAAACTAGAAAGATTATTTTTATCGTTTATCAAGTATAAAAAGTATCATAGGTATATACACTAGTTTACAGAAGGAGCCACTGTAATGAAAAAGCCTACAAATAATATTACCTATACACTGGCCAGGGATTCCTCCTGCAATGCGGAAATCCCTGGCTCCTCTTCCCTGGCTCCTTTTCATCACAGAAGCAATGCAAAGGGAATGGAAAACAGGTCTGTGATCTGCTCTGAAACTAATGTCTCAAGGTCACTCAAGGAGTCAATAGTAGGTCCAGGATTAACAACTCGATCTCCTCGATCTCCTGCTATTGTACTTGCTGTACTTCTTGCACACTCTCTGTGTGGGAATTAGCTGCCTAAAGTTTAGCTGTGTGAAAAACAACCAGAGGAAACAAACACCTCTGCATTGTGATCCTAGAGCGAGGGGCTCACTGCTAGCGTTTCCCCATCACTTCGGCCGGAGTAGGACCATTCCTATAGCATCTGAATCCTACAAAGGATCTGAAAGGTGGGATAGGGGGAAGCAAAGGCAGCAGCAGAAACATAGTGAGGCCATGATAGGTGTTATTAAGCTGCTCACAGGACAGAATCATAGAAGTCATGGTAGGACTGGTAACTGGCAATTTTGATATTGCTTAATATATAGCACATACTACAAATTTTCATACTACTATATTATCCATAAATAGCATGTCATTATACCTTATTTAGTCAACCGAACAGGGACAGGCACCACTAGAAGAGGATTCGTCCTGTCAAAAGATATGTAAGTTGACTTGTTCTCTGTAGAGAATCAGCTTACTCTAACAACTAGAAATGGGTAGTATCTATTCTGACCTATTTAGATTAGCTAAGACATCTACATTTTAGGTGGCTAACGCTAGATCAGATAAATCTGGGGCCAAAATGTAACTGTTAGACAGATAAGGAAAAATGAGAGCTACTCTCACTCTTTGCATCTTATACACAACATACGCAAAAGCAATAGAAGCAATTCTGAGTTCAAATGCAATAAATCATAAACTGTTTATGGAAACTGTGTACTGTACTGAGAGGTTCAGTCTTGCAACTGGCATAGAAACATGCTTTATGAAACGCGTTTTTCTTCCAAACTCTTTTTTTCAGAATTAAAAATGATGTTTATTTGTTTATTTTGATAACTGAGCAAAAACTCTTATGTGGTTATTGATATATAATTTATTTCATGACAATATCAGTTGTATGAATAATTATATACAATTACCTGATTTTGTGAGAGAACTAGAATAAGAATTTTAAAGAGAAAGAAGAAAACTCCTTCTGGCTTCTCTCTTAGTTTCCCTCCCCCTTATACTGGTTCATCTTCACAGCTTTCTAGCTAGGGACAGCTTTTTTGCTTGTTTTTGTCATCTGTAGAAAGCTTGTGTATACTATTCATAAGTTTGGATCTTTTTCTACAGCTACAAATTCATTTGGACTTCATTTGGACACACACAGGCAGCGAAGAAGGTGGAACTCTTGCTTGTAGCTCAACAGCTAGGCCAAATCTAGTGAGAATCTAGCATTTCAGTCCTTTTCTGCATCATGCAGAGAGAGAATATGATCCCTTCTCTCAGTGCTTTGAACTATGTGCTGTTTTGAGATGGAGTTCCTTTTTTTTGAAGCTGACCTGTGACGTATTAAGTTTATACTGGAGCAAGAATGTTCAAAGTCTCCAGTACACTAGTTTGTAAAATATGCTATATATGAGCTACCACTATTGCTCTCTTGCCTTTTGTTAAAGTCCGTAATCAATACCTGTCCTCCAGGTAAAAATTGTCCCTGAACAAAATAATGTATTTTCAGTCAAATGAAATGCTTGAAATAAATGCTTTTTCTCAGCCAGAATCTCCCTCCAAAAATCCAGCTTTTGCCAATACACAAAAAAATGTTATTTTTTTTCTGATTCAGTTACCAAACAACAATTTATTCACATGGCTACTGTGGATACTTCTCAAACAGAGTGATAAAAAAAATCCACATTTTCAATGAAAAAGTCCTTTTTAAGTAATGCTATTCACGTAACTGGAAGAAAAGATATAATGTAAAGCATTTTCATGATACGAGATCACCATAAATGAATGAAATTATTTTCCTAGGCCACCAGCATGCTTTCGAAAAGGTTAACACTTATGCACTGTATTCATACACTTTAGAATCTAGTATACGTGAGAACCTTGATCTAAGCATAAGGTTATCAACAATTTTCTGTTTCTTTCTATGAAAAGCACTTTGATAAGAGGTCTTATCAAATAAGCAAAGTTTCCATGTACAGCAAAAGCACGTCAGCAAAGACATGGCAAGCAGAGACACGGTGGAGTTTGGAAAGATAAATGGAATAGTTGATTACATTCCCAAAGTTTTCCTTTGCATACACCTAAGTAAATATTAAGATACCACAGCTGTGCACTGATTAAGACCTTGCTTAATCTGGCACAAGGTTGGAAGCATCAATTTAGCAGGGCCAGGGCAGAACTACAAGAACATATGTTAATCAGACGTTCAGGTTAGAGTACAAATTACATCATCTGGACCGGGCTTTCTTGCAGGTATTCTTAAGTTACCCAAAGTAATTATAATTCAGCAAAAGCACTCTGCGTGGCAAGGTTATTACAGAAGTAATGTAAGGTGAGTTAAATGTTAGCAGAGGATATGGTTCAATAATCGGTGATGGGGGAAGTTAAACTTCTGGAACCTAAGAAATGCATTCCATTATTTTCATACAGTCAAGAATATGACCTTGTCTCACCTAATACTTATCTTCAAAACAGAAACCCAGTCTTCTACCCACTTACCTGCCTATTGCGTTTTCTATGTCTCCTCAAAGGAAGACCTCACATCCAAGCTTTAATCTCCTCCTTCCTGTACTTCCTGCTCCTTCTGCCTGCCTTGTTCGCACATACCTCTGTCAGGATCCTAGTCCTTCAGCTAAATAGCTTGCATCTAAAAATTATTGTAATCTAGATCACTGGATGTCTAAAGGTGGTTCTGTGGTTCCAGAGAACCTCTAGTCTCATATGCTCTACTACGTCAGATCTGGAGACCCTGCACCTCCTAACCTCCAATATCCATGTCTGCAAAAACACATGCAATGTCACAGAGGCTCTGGGTCCCTGCAACAGGCATCACACATCTTCCCCAAAGCTTCTACCCTTCTCCACGATTCTGCTTTCACACAGGTTAGAGCTGTGATGGAGAAGTCACATTTTTATAGTATAGAGCTGTAGAAGGTTGTTACTACTAACATTAAAGATAAGCTAAAGAGGAAAAAGATTACATTATATGAAATGAAAAAGACACTTCTATTAAAATTCCAAACTAACAGCAGTGCCAGAAATTAAACTTGGCTTCTGAAAGCAATACTACATTAATCTGTTTGGAAGCTGGGCCAGCCAGCTTTTTAGCTGCTTACTAATGGTTTTCCAAAGAATTCATCAGGTTACTTTATAAGTAAGATTAAAGTCTTGATCAAAATGATTATTCTTATGAGCACAGTGACTTTACTTTTCTGGTATTATGCTAGATGCTTCAGAGGAACTATGCAGACTCTTCACTTCATGACAGCAAAAGATTAATCTTACTTAAGAAAATGCTTCCGTATTAACTCATAAGAGTAATGTATGGCTCTAGATTTTAGTTATAACAGTGAAAAGCAGACTGCATAGTTTCACTATGTAACGGCGGTAAGCAGGTTGCTCTACAGTTAGGAGTTTTGTAACCTCAGTATCAAATGTTCATTTCAAGTTTTACTTTCCACAAAGCCAGAGGAGTTTAGTATATAGTAACAGAGAAATGAAAAGGTATTTTCCATTAGGAAAAAAAAAAAAAAGATGCTAAGGCTGAATCCTGAAGGGATTTTTTCTTAAGCAAATTCTTTTCGAAGTCATGCAATCAAAGTGCTCCAAAGTTTTCCATATTGCTAACTCTTTCAGTTATTACTAAGGCTGTCTGGAAAACTAAAATTCCATATTACAAAATAGTATATACTAAGTTCCAGCATTTGATTTTGCTCTGTGTCAAGATGAAATCAAAGCTCACGTTACTTCTACAACATTCTGATCAGCAAAATGGGGATTTGACCCTTGAAATGCCACCGACAATGTTAATTCCTTACCCAGTGGGAAACTGTCAGACCTAAAGGGATTTCTGTCTGCTCTTAGTCTACAGTGAATGTCAAAACTACTCCTTATGAAAGCTGCATCAAAACTGGCAACCTTCCATAAAAAGTTTGGGTTTGATGAATCAGTATTTTATAATGGAAAAAATAGCTAACTGGAAAATTCCATTGCAAAACATTTCACCTTCATGATTAAACCTTCCATTTACAAATAGTTTGAAAATAATTAATTTACACATAGTAGATATTGTGCATTATCAATATGAATAGTCCTGGCTAACGATGATCAAAAATATACCAATAAAAAAACTTCACGTAAACTTATATAAGCACCCATCTCACCTACTAGTTGGCCATTTATTTAAGCAATGATCCTTTATTTGTGTAACTGAGATCTCTTACTAATGTAACTATAATAATTACAAATGATAAATAGAAAGCATCATTTTATTATTTCTGAGCTGAAAGGAATACAGCTCTTGTGATTAAACTCCCAGTTAAGGGATCTGGGAATAAAACTGTTCCTCTTATAAAAAGCTGATCCCCCCACAGGTCCCACTAGGGCATTAGAATATATGGTTAAAATTCTACATAGGAAAGAATCAAAGACTTGGGCTGCGCACAGATTTTACATTAATATAACAGTCTGACTGACACATACTGTATGCTTCCCTCCTCCCCAAATTATTACATTGCTACTGCTCCAAGTGGGGACACATTTATAGTGGGACAAAGATGCCTTTTTTCTGTTACAGTATGTTCCTGGTTCCACATGGAAATGAATGTATCTTGACACTGGTATAACTACTCACACCAGATGAATTTTCTGCTTTGACTAACAGAGGGAGAAGGAAGAATTAGTTTGGCCAAGGACTGCAGAATTTGGAGAATTATTTTTTTATGGAAAGAAAGGACTTTTTAAATTTTGAAAGTTTTGATTTTGATAAAAAGCTTGATTTTTCAGTTCAAAATACTGTATTTTAAGCAGCTTTAGCCCCCTTTTTAAGGATAGCATGTATGGAAAACAAAAATGCCACATTTCACTTGACCTACTATTTTTTCCCTTTGTTTTTTTTTCAGTATAGTTCTCAAACTACCAACTGCATCATGTGCAGTTCTCCCCTTAACAGATAAGGCAATGTAGCTGTTCTGCTTACGCAAACGGTATATAGATTTGCCATTCACTGGTAAGAAATTTGTACCAATGGGAGATCCGGATTTTCCACTCTGTGTCCCATTTATATTGATTATAGGATCAAAAATCTCAAAACTCAGTCCCCCAGGCCTCAGGCTACTTACAGACTTGGAGGTAAGCTAATTACAAACTCCTCAACAGACACCTTTCTAGTTCTTTCATATCCAGCTTTTATAGGCGAGGGGCTTACCAGATCATACATACAAAGCTAAGCCAGTTCCAGAAAGATGGATATTTCACAACTGAAAAGACTCCACTTGGAGTATATCTTAAAAAAGCTCATTCAAAGAAGCACTTCAGCAATTTTATGTTAGAAGAACTTTTTAGGATTAAAAGCTGCTTACCATTCGACACTGAATTTCCATTTTCAGCAGTCACAGAACTGGACAGTTGATTAGATGATTGAGTTCCATGGTTGTTTGCATTTTTATCCTGGGCTTCTGATCCAATATCTGATGTATTTGGATCTTCCCTGCTTCTCAAGTTGAGATTAGTTTCAACACCTGATTCAAACAGAGAAAAAGCTTGTCAGCTTCCTATTTATCAGCTTGTCAGCTTCCTATTTACTAGCATCCTTGACACATAGGGAGGCAAAACTAACATCTAGAACTCAAATTACTTTATACAATTAATTCAGTTAATCACTAAACTCACTAGACCAGCGATAAATTTGGAAGGTTTAAAACAGTGATTTTTGTAGGGTTTTGGTTTTTTTTTTTTTTTTTTGGCTAGTGTTCCATGTGTAGCCTTCTAAAATTTATGAAAGTGAGAGAGGTTAACAAAGTTTCATTTGCAGTGTTTATTTTCACAAAAATCAGCTGATAAAATCAAGAAAAGTTTGTATTGCTTCTATTTTAGGTTCTATTCTATTTCACATGAATTCACATACTGCTGTCATTACTGCAATGTCTTTCACTATTGCACTAGGTGATGTGAGCAACAGCTATAACATGGGTTTATTTTTTGTCTTATCTCCTCCCATGAGAAATGAAGTGGCCTTTTCACTGAAAATAATATCCAGCAAGATTCCTCCCAGCAGTGCCTCCCTGTGGGCATTATTTACTCTGCCTCAGGGCTCCCCAGTCATTAATTGTCATTTTCTATATAGTTCCAGGTTTTCATGTCATAGCCTTCTAGTTAAATTTCTTCAAGACATCAAGGAGAGCCCTCATCCTATAGGGGCTCACAAGTTGCATGTGGTGTGCAAGATTTTCACCAAAAAGAAAGGTAAAACTTTTCTCTTCTTCTCCATTTATCTGATGGCACATCTACACACAGGAGTACAGTTCACAGCAAAGTGCCCTGAGCAGGCTCTGAGCTTGCCTGGCTGTGTCAGCTCAGGTTACTATAAGAAATAGGGCTCCGGCATCAGGTATGCCCAAGTGGTGCCTTCCTACCTGCAGTTCAGAGGCCAGGGAACCTCAGCACTGGGATACAAGACTGCGAAAAAATGGGTTCATGTGCCTGTGGTGGGGATGGTAGGAAGAAGCCACAATTCAATCCTGACATACCAAGCTCTCTCCACTCCACTCCTGGGTGGCTGGGCTGGTGAGACTGGATTAAATGTTGCACTGGCAAAGCTAGCAAGTTTTTGGTAGAGTTCTCTCTCCTGCTTTTCTCTTCATTTTGTGGTGAACATATTCACTGGATCCTTGCTCTAATCAGGTTTCTTTCATAGAAGGCAAAGCTGAAATCTTACTAGCTCCACTTAAGCTTTCTAACTCACTCCCTCTGCTCTGAGGGCTCGCATCCGTTGCAGGTCTAGCGTATTACAACTGACTTGGTTGTGAAGGCCCTCACTTAGAACTATAAAGTGGAAATATTTATTCTGTGACAGAGCTTAAAGAGCTATTTCTTGATTTTAGTTGGTTCCTTTTAAGCGTTGATACAGTAACAGCAACGACCAATGGAGATCAAAAGGCACAAACAATCCAGGAGGCTCCTGGAGAGCACTGATGATAACTTTCTGACACAGCTGATGGAGGGGCCAATAAAGAGGTGCGCTGGTGGACCTTGTAATAAAAAATAAGGAGGGACTGGCTGGAAATATGATGACTGGGAGAAGCCTTTGCTTCAGTGACCACAGCATGGTGGAGTTCAGGATCCTGCAAGGAGGAAGCAGGGCAATAGGTAGGATCACAACTCTGGACTTCAGGAGAGCTAACTGGCCTCTTCAGGGGCCTTCTTGGAAAAATTCCATGGGATCAGGCACTAGCAGGAAGAGGGATCCAAGAGAGTTAGTTAATATTCAAGGATTACCTCCTCCAAGGTCAAGAATGGTGCACCCCTATAAGCAAGAAGTCAAAAGGGGGCAGGAGACCTGCATGCATGAACAAGGAGCTCCTGGCAAAACTCAAGCAGAAGAAGGAAGTGTACAGGAGCTGGTAGCAAGGACAGGCCACTTGGGAGGAATATAGGGACGCTGTCCAACTATGCAGGGATGAGATTAGGAAGGCCAAGGCCCATCTGGAGTTTAAACTGTCAAGAGATGTCAAGGACAGCAAGAAGCGGTTCTTTAAATACATTAGCAACAAAAGGAAGACTAGGGAAAATGTGGGCCCACTGCTGAACGGGGACTGTGCCCTGGTGATGAAGGATACAGAGAAGGCAGAGATACTGAATGCCTTCTTTGCTACACTTTGCCGCAGGTCTTCAAACTAAATGTTCAATGGAAGGTTGATTTATCAGTTTCATGACTAAACTGAAAAGATGGGTTGCAAAGGATGGAAATTTTAAGAATGAACAAAGGAAACGGAAATGACATATCCATTTTGATTGACTTAAAACGTTTCACTTAGTTTTTGAGTTATTTAACTCTGAATTCTTTTTAACACTTCTTTTTCCAACCAAAGAGCTGTCTTGAAAAGTCAAAAAGTTCATGTCCAAGGTGTCAGAACATTTCAATGTTTTTCACTCCCTCCCTTGCCCTCATTCCCTGATCATTATTTTATGCCAGATCTGACTGGAGTGTTTCAGTTGCAGTGTTTCATAAACTGCATATTTAGGCAAATGTGCTAGGCATTGAAAAAATTAGGCCAGCTCTACCCACAGTAACTGATTTGGGAAGGGAGGTAGAATCCAGAGTCTGAGATGGAAAATGTATACAGTACAATTATAAGGGCATGCCTGATTTAGCTTTCGTACAAGCAAGTTGACTGCAAAATGCATCTTTGCAGCTCCTATTAAATTTGTCTGAAAAGGAAATGTCACTTTTAGATGTTAATAGTCAGTGCACTTGCCTATAGATCATAATCCACCTACATAATTACTGTGCCACCTTTTACATAAAGAGTCTCGGGGGAAGTGGCTGGGATCTTTATTTTTCTTGATATCCAAAAAATTTATTGATTTGCCTGACATCTGCAATTCATTTGAGAACTTGCAGGTAGAAAGACATTTTCTTGCATCCCTATTTTGCAAATGTCTTTTGTTTCACAGGTACATTGATATCTCTTTTTGGCATTCATGAAGGGCTCTTGGAAAAAGATTACCTTTTTTCCTTTATATCTGTAGGATATAATACTACAAAGTACTGTGGATAGTTACTATCCAGCTAAAATATCATCATATATTGGCAGAAACAAATACTGGACAGATACGTGGCTTATCCTTTGGGAAAGCTGTCTAGATAGAGATTTGCTACCCATTTGCTCCATTCAGTCATTGTAAGCAATGCATATCTTTATTTCCTAACTATTAAAGAGAAAATATACTTTGTAGCATCCTATTTCCTTAGCATAATCTAGGTGGTGGAAAATATGTCGATATTTTGCTTCAAATTAATCTGGATTATATAAAGGTAGTTGTATTTATTTTCTGTATATAGGCATTTTCAGCTTCTCTTTGGAGTTGTCATGTGAGGCTACAAAAAAGCATAACCCCATATGTTAGCTAACTTATAAAATAACCCTGAAGCAGCCAGAGTGTATCCCTAGCCAACAACTACTGTTTATTTATTTTGGACTTTGTGTAAAATGAATGAGTTTCTTAAGAATATTTTTTCTATAAATAGCATAACAAGAGGATGCTTTAGACAGGTGTAACCAGTGTACTGGGCTGATGCTGTCAACCTTACTTTGGGTCACAGGATAATCCAGGTTGAAAGAAACTTTGGGATGTCTCTAATCCAACCCCCTGCTCAAAGTAGGGTCAGCTGTGAGATCAGACCAGGTTGCTCAGGGCTTTGTCCAGTTGGGTCTTGAAAACCTCCAGGGATGGGGCCTGCACAGACCCTTTGGGTTCTCTGTCCCACTGCTGGTGGGCCACTGTCCCCTTGCTGAGAAAGTTTCAATATACAGCCCGAACCTCCCTTGTTTCCGCTCAAGCCCGCTGTATCTTGTCCTCCTGCCATGCACCGCTGTGAAGACCTGGCTCCATTCTCTCGCTCCCCTCCTCGAAGGCACGGGAAGGTGGCTGTGGGGTGCTTCAAAGCTGCCTCTGCCCCAGGCTGAACAATCCCTGCTCCTTCAGTCTCTCCTCATGGGGCAAGCGCTCCAGCCCCCAGCCATCTGAGCGCCCTCTGTTGAACTTGCTCTAGTTTATTCATGTCTTGCTGGTATGGGGAGTCCCCAAAACTGGATGCAGTACTCTACATATTGTCTAATGAGCACCGAGCAGGGGGAACAGTCACTGCCCTCGATCTTCTGGCTGTGCTCCCATTAACACCTCCCTGGATGCCACTGGCCGTCCCTGCTGCCAGAGCACACTACAGGCTCATGCCTTACTTGCTGCCCCCCAGGGCCTTTTCTGCAGAGGTGCTCCCCAGACAAGCTGTCCCCAACCTGCCTGGTTGCAAAGGATTATTTTTTCCCAGATGCAGAACTGTGCATTTATTTTTTTCAATAGGCTGTAACATGTCAAAAGGCCCTGCCTTCACCTTCCGACCTAGGGTAGCCCTCTCTGTCCTCCCTCTCCACTACCTAAAAAATCCCTGAGCATAACAAATGTGTCTCCTGACTTTTTATCATAATAATTTTATTCCACATAACATAGCACTGCACAGTGTTATCTTAGACTTGAATACTGTGGGCAACTATGTAAAATATAGGAAAGCAGTTTGGTAACATTAAAGGCTTAATTCTCATGGGAATTCTCATTGATTCTAATTTTATCCATCGAATATTGATCTGAAATTTATTTCAGCCTCATGTCTTTTTGATTATCTGATATTAAAGTTTGGATTTTTCTCTATGTTTCCAAATTCCCCCCTGCTGCCCTGAATCTTTGCAGATAGGAATATTTATCATTCCCTCATTCCTCATCTACTTTCTGGAATTGTCACAAATGATTAAGGAGAGAGGAAAATAAAAAGCTGTGGTTCCTATAGTTGCCACATCTTCACCAGTCTGCTGAACGCTAGATCTTTGTTCACACTTGCATTCTGCTGTTCTAATCAAATGGATTATTTACAAGAAATTTCCACTTTTTTTTAGTAGCAACATCTTCACAGTTGCCAACGAGTAATAAAAGTTATTTGCAGAGTCATCCATGCCTGCTTGTGAGA